GAGTTATCCTGTTTTAGCAATAAAAGCTTGGGGACTATGCTGAAAGCTTGGATTAGGTATTCTAAGACTTAGGAAAAGGTGGAACTCAGGGGAAAAGAAACCAGAACAGAGTACTCATGTCCCAGGGGTTATATATGACTGTGGATTAGTGGTATCTATAGCCAAATTAAAATTGGAGCAGAATGATGGGGAGGAGCAAAGTGCAGTAATATATTCAGTGGGGCTATAAAATTTCCAAACGAATAAATATTTCTATTTATCTATCTATATCTACATATCTCTATCTATCCATCTATCCATCTATCTCTCTATCCATCTATCCATCAAAAGACACTAACTCAACATTCCCCATAAGGAATCCTCTTCTTACTGCAAGTTAGAATGTTTATGAAAATAGCATGCTAGACTCGGTGAATGACACATTCATAAACAAACTACTTGAAAGCTTTTGTTGCTTAGTCATATTGTTAAGCATAGCTAAGCTGAGAAGTAAACACCAACAACATTTCTCTACATCCACAAGACATTAATTTCTGCCTTGGTCACACCATATTCTTACTCTAGCATTCCCGTGACTCCCTAGGAGAAAATATGAACTCATCTACTTGGCTTCTAAAACCTTCACAGGGCAGCTAGGTGGCATACTGGTCCTGAAGTCAGGAGAACCTGAGTTCATATCCGGCTTCAGCCACTTACTAGTTGTGTGACCCTGGACAAGTCACCGATTGCCTCCCCGCACCCTCCCCCCAAAAAGAAAAAGAAACCTTCATAATCTGCCTCTAACCTACCATTCCAGATATATTGTATTTTATGTATTTTATGTTTTAGCCAAACTGGCTGACTTACTTTATGCCCATGGCCAACATTCCACCTCCCAGTTCTGTTCTTTGGCTCTCCTGCATGCTTAGAAGGCACTCCCTCCTCACCCCCAACCTCTGAATCCCCCAGTTGCTTTCAAACTCAGCTCATATGTTGCCTACTACATAAGACTCTTAGTGACCCTCCCCCGCCCTGACCAGATTTTAATATTCCACACTACTCCAAAATTACTTTGCATCCATATTGTATTTACTTATATGTGTACATGTTGTTTTCCCAAAATAGAATTTTCACTTTGGTCTGTATATCCCCAGTGCCTAGCACAGTGCCTGGTACAACTACAGATACTAGAGAAATGTGTATTAAATTGAATTGCGTATCCTCTGATCCCAGGACAATTAGTCTAACCACAATAAAATCCTTATATGTATTTTGTATTTTTTTAACATTTTTATTTAAAGTTTTGAATTCCAAATTCTATCTCTGACTCCTCCCTCCCTGAGAGGGTAAGCAATCAGATATAGGTTATATATGTGCAATTATGTAAAACATTTCTATATTAGTAATTTTTGTACCTTGCATTTTTAACCAAATTAACTGAATGGTTTTCCAACGGATCACAGGTGTCAATACCAGATTCTCAGTCTTGCCAAAGTCCACATATACTGATTAAGGTCTGGGTGATGAATTGAAGAGATAGATAGAAAATCATATTCAATTTAAAGTATATTTACCAATAGTTAACCAGTCAGTCAATAAACATTTATTAAGCTTCTGTTATATACCAGACACTGAGCTAAGAGTTGGGGATACAAAAATGATAAAAAAATGAAAGCCCTTGCCCTCAAGATGCTTACACTCCAATGAAGGAAGATAATACACACACACACATAAAAAAAAAAAGATGAAGAGGGGTGTGAGGAAGAGAAGAGTAAGGTATATCTGGTATGGGGGTCATGATGGAGAAGGCAAAAAAGTCCAAAAAGAGTGCAGCTGGGTGGGAAATGAAGAGATGGCTGTCCTGGGTTTCCTCCTTTTTGAAGGTTTTAGAGTTCATGGCTCTGCTCTCCAATCAGAGGTGAAGAGGATACTAATGAAATATGAGTATGAAGGTTGATTAGATCTTAAAGGTTGATGAGTTTTTACAATTATGAGGTTCCTGGGGGCATCATGGAAAAGTGAAAGAAGTCCAAAAGGAGTGATGCTGGGTGGGAAAAAATGTATCCAAAAACATTTGTCCTTTCATCTCTGAAAACGAAGATGGGTGAATAATACACAAAAACAATGTGAATCCGTGAATTTTTCAGAATAGGGGACTCTCACTGTGGAAATTTTCTCCACCAACTAACAATCAGTTTATGACTTAGTAGATAAATCTTGGGTAGTTGTCTGAGATACAAAGAGTTTAAGTGGTTTTATCTCCAATTTATCCTGACTATATCTTGCTTGTACATTGTTTGTACATTGTACATTTGTATCTTGTTGGCTTGTGACTCCCACATTAGATTGCAAGCTCTTTGAGGGCAGGGACTGTCTTTTGGCTTTCTCTGTATCCCCAGTACTCGACCCAGTGCCTGACACATAATAGGTGCTTAAAAAGTGCTTGTTGACTGACTAGTAAACATAAAAGGCTGGATTTGAACCCACGTCTTCCTGGCTCCAAGCTGAACACTCACTCTGTCCATTATGTTTGGCTATCTCCTAAAGTCCTATATAAATGCCAGCTGTTACTACATTTGCCTGTTTCTATCCTACCTCATACAATAGAACTGTACAGAACTTAGCTCTCACCAGATTGCAATACGCAATAAATCAGTAGTCGCATTCTTATTATGCTTCTAATAATATAACCATAAAATAATCATGCAGCCTATTGACCACCTCTCAAGCATCAGCTACAAAACAAAGCCTAGCTGACCCCAGTGCCTCCTCCACCCACCTTCCAATCCAACACACGCTTCAAAAAGATTGTATATACAATACCTTGTGGAGTGAATTACTATCTCTTCATTTGAATGGGAGAACTACTGGTTAATGCATGAATTCTGCCTATGGAATACTTTTTAAGTAAGTTCCTTAAGGTGAAAGACTAAATCATTTTTGCGTTCATATCTTAACTAGCACAGGGCTTTGTATGCAGTAAGTTCTTATTAAGAGCTAGTTCATGGTGTAATGGAGGATGATTGTCCAATAAGCCCAGTCCTTATAAGCCTGCACAGAGTGCTCCGCTGATACAAACCTCACAGGGAATTTGAAGCATGCATGGATAGATACTCTGTACCTGCTCCTAGTATGGTAGCTATGGAGTGAAGAGTAACTTCTGTGTTTGGCTGCACAGCCAGAACTGGGGAGCATTGAACAAGTACAAGCCGACTAGAACTTGATCCTTCTCTAAGTGACATTTCTTCCTGTCTGGTGGCATTCCAATGGAGGATATTGAAGATAGAGAGCCAGGAGTGGAGGCCAGACCAACTTTTCAACCAGTTCAATATCTTAAGCATCAATGTCTTAAGGATTAGCCTTTGAGATCTAGCACATCAGTAGATAGAAGAGGGATTCCTCCAGTACCAATGTCACATTTGGACCTGAACTTGTTGGGACCAATGTTAAGCCAAAACTTCATTAAGTCAGAATTCATTCTCCCCAAAGACCAAGGTGGTATGGGGAAATTTTACCCATAAGGTGTTGGGGAAGGTACTGTTTGTACTTCTGTAGTTTCTGTATCCCTTTGTACAAGCTAATTAATATTGGTTGGTTAAAAATGGAACCAGGGCACTACTAGAAGCTAATAGTAAAGGTAACAAACCAGAATGAGGGATCAAGCTGATAGCATTAGAGGAAGACATCCTCATCCCATTAGGAGTATACCTAGAACCTTGAAGTAGAGATATAAGCAATCCGTCTCCAGGAGATTGAGGAAAGAGTTATTTGCTACAGTGGGACCAGAGGATCATGCATCTTGAGCTGGTAGGAACCTTAAAGGCCATCTGTTGCAATCCTTTCTTTTCGTATAGGAGGAAACTGAGGCCCAATGAAGTTAAGTAACTTGCTCTTTATCTAATAGATAGTATGAAATTTCAACTTAATATTGTTTTTCACAAATTTAATATCAAAAACTCAAATCTTGAATCTGGATTTTCCTCTTATAAATGAATTTAAAGGTCTAGTTTAAGTAGAAGGGAAAAAAGACTTTCAAATCTAGGTCTTTGTAGGTCAACCTAGTGCATTTAAGCAAGCTGATTTATGTATTATTTAAAGTAACCACTTCAAACCGCCTTGTAAAATCAGATAAATATTATCCTGAGGGAGTTGGAAGATAATTTAAACTCTTAATACCTTATCGTTGTTTTAATGTAATACAATCTAGGATGGAATTCAGATGTCTTTGCCCTTACAGAAAGCAGGATAACACATGTGACTTTCAAGGCCAAGACTTGGATTTGTATGGACCAATTTTCAGTTTGAGAGGCTATCTTATAGTAAGTCCAAATCAATGTAATTTGGAATGAAAATGCTGCTTTAACTATCAATAAATGGTTAAGTGACAGATAAGGTCAGTAAAAATAAATCTGGGTTTAGCTCCTCCATGGAAATAACTCTGCACATGCCTACTGGGAACCTAAAAGAATAAAAAGCTAGCATTCCTCCACAGCACACCAGGCATACATGCATAAATAAAAGCCACCTTTTGAGGCCTATTTGCTAAGTTAGAAAAGCCATTTGCAACATAATAAAGACAATGAAACAGACAGTTGGGGGAAAAAAAAGCAAAACTATAGGAGATAGGGTTTTGTTGCTTTTTATTTTGGATTTTGTTTTTAAAACTTTTGAAAATAGTTTCTTTGTAAGCACAAAAGCAATAGGAAAGACATGAAAGTTATAGGCTATGGAAAAAGAATAAATATAGAAAGGAATATAAATTGGGAAAATTAATATTGGATCTCAGAGTTCTATTTAGGGTTGAGTTTTTGTCTTTGTTTTGGGTACTTTGTATTGGTTAATAGAATCACACTTTAAGTGAGATGTGATCACAGAGGCCCCAGAGCATGAGGGGCCACAGCCCGTAGGACGAACAGAGAGAAACAAAGCAGGTAAGCTAAGACAGAAGAAAGTCTTACCTTCATGGGGTACATGTGCCCCCAGTTGGTTCTTCCTGGAGGCCTGACTATGATCACTCCCCTCTAGCAGCAGCATTGCTTCTTACAACAGCACTGTTGGCAACAGCGTTTCTGTTGGCAGCAGCCCTTGCCACAGCCACAACCCTTGCCACAGCCACAAGAGCCACAGCCACAGGAACCACAGGAGCCAGAGCAGCAGGTGCGCCGGCAGCAGACAACGGTGGGGCTGCAGCAGCCTCCACAGCAGCCACAGCAGCAGGGGCAGCAGGCAGAGCAGCAGCCTACACGGCGGCAGGTACAGGTGGTACAGCTACCACAGCCACCGCAGCCACCGCAGCCACCGCAGCCACCGCAGCCACCGCAGCCACCGCAGCCACCGCAGCCACCACAGCCACCACAGCCGCCGCAGCCGCCACAGCCACCGCCTCCACAGCCACAGCAACCCATAGTGTCAGTACAGAGGGTTCAAGTGAGGTGAGATGAAAGGTCTCAGGAGAGGTGAGGGAAGTCTGATGCTCTTCTTCTCCAGGACAACCCTTATATACCTTGTTGGAAGGTTGGCCCAATATGTCACAGGATACTTCCTTGTTGTTGTTTATCCTAGTTTTCCTTGAAAAATTCTTATTTTATTTCTGCTTACTTCCTCCTCTGAAATATTTTTACTACAATTAAATGGCTTATTTTAGCTTTTGACCAATTTACTACTTTTTTAGATTATGATTCAAACACACACACACACACACACACACACACACACACACTCACACACACAAATGGTAGCTGACTTTGTTTTCCATCAAGCTACTTGTCAAGTTTTCTCCATGTGATTGTGTCCCAAGACTCTCCAACAGCAGGGAACTGAGTCCTTCACTGCTTATGAAGCTATTGCCTACAGATTCCAAAGGAAAGCTTTTAAGTATAGTTGACATCCCTTTGTTGGACAAAGAGAAAAATGTGTAAATCTAAAACACGGACATCCATTTTCTGAAGTTTGAGATGCCCTATATCAGATCTGGAACCTAGAAAGGAAGAGATCATAGTCTGTCTCTATTATTTTCAGGTCCATTTATGACCCTGACTCACTCAAGATAGGAAAGAGCATCTGGAGACAGCTTTTAGAAATGAGCTCTTAGGGAGTTATTAATCAATCAATTAACATGCATTTATTAAATATTTACTAAGTTCTAGGTACTGTGCTAGAATACCATACTGAGAATACAAATTTTTTAAATGAAACTGTACTTGGCTTAAGGAGTATACATTCTTGGAAACTGTAAGGATACCCATCAATTGTGGGGAATGGCTGAACAAGTTGTGGTATATGAATGTGATGGAATAATATTGTGTTATAAGAAATGATGAGCTATCGGCTTTCAGAAAAACTTGGAAAGACTTATTTGAACTGATGCTGAGTGAAGTGAGCAGAACCAAGAGAACCACTGTACACAGTAACAGCAACATTGTGTGATATTCAACTTTGATAGACTTAACTCTTCTCAGCAATACAATTATCTAAGATAATTCCAAAAGACTCATGATGGAAAAGGCTATCCACATCCAGAGAAAGAACTATGGATTCTGATTGCAGAGCGAAGCATACAATTTTCTCTTTTTTTTCTTTCTCATGATTTTTCCCTTTTGTTCTGATTCTTCTTTCACAACATGACTAATATGGAAACATGTTTAATATGGTTGTATATGTGTAGCCTATATCAGAGTGCTTGCTGTCTTAGAGAGGTGGGAGGGCAGAAAGGAAGGGAGAAAAAAATTGGAACTCAAAATCTTTCAAAAGTGAATGTTGAAAACTATCTTTACATGTAACTGAGGAAAAAATAAAATGCTATTAAGTGGGGGAGGGAAAGAAAAAATTTTAAAAATGCTATATCAATGGGAAAAAGAGTATACATTCTATATAAACAGCATGTGTACTTATAAATATAAAAAAAGTAAAAACAAAGTAATTAAACTGTTTCCACTCTCTTATCTAAATTTTATAGTTTCCTTCAGTATGCTAAAATCACGTCAAGTTGCAAACCAAGTTTCATCAATTCCAAATCCTCTTTCCCCTACCCGCATTGCTTTGTTTAGTCTAATACATTCTAAAGCAGAAACCCCCTCCCAAAAACCACACACAACAAAACAAAAAAGCCTTCCACAAATCATTGTCATGTTAGTTTTTATTGCATCATAAAACAGTCAGCTCTACTTGTAACTAGTCCCCAGGAAATTTAATCTAAACATTAAATGCATCTCCAGTGGAAGCAGAGCTAAGACAATCAGAATAAGAAAAATGCTAAGAGGAAAAGGTAACGACTCCAGAAGTGCCATTATGCCAGGGGCTGAACCCAATAAACTCCCGTGACTACTTAGGCAGGTAGATGGTACCATGGATAGAAAGCTGGACCTGGAGTCAGGAATGGCCGAGTTCAAAGCCAGACCTTTTCTTATTTCTCCACTATGAGCTCTCATACTTCCATCTTCTTTGTGGTGCCCTGATCTTACTTTCCCTCCTAGACCATAAATTTCTTGAGTGGGTGGAATGTATCCTGTTGAACTTTGCATCTTCCTTGCTGTCTTGGAAATAGTAATCACCTCATGAATTTTTGGTAGATTCTGGGGATGGATGAATACTCTAAAAAATATGTGGTTTCATCAGTATGTGGTAACTCTTGGTGTGGAGATTCCCTCCGCCAACCTGTAGCTCTAAATCAGTAGATGAGTCTTTAGGAATTGCCAACATTTGCTGGATTATAAAGAAAGCCAGGGAATTACAGAAAAAAAATCTACTTCTGCTTAACTACACCAAAGTCTTTGTATGGATCACAACAAAATGTGTCAAGTCCTCAAAGAGATGGGAGTAGCAAATCATCTTACTTGTCTCCTGAGAAGCCTGTATGCCTGCCAAGAAGCAACAATTAGACCCAAACATGGAACAAGTGATTGGTTTAAGATTGGAAAAGGAGTACAGCACTGTATATTGTCACCCTATTTATTTAACCTAAATGCAGAGAACTTGATGCAAAATGCCAGGGTGGATGAATCAAAGACTGGCAGTGAGGATACCGGGAGACTTATCAACAATTTCAAATATGCAGATGGTTCCACTCTGATGGCAGGAAGTGAAGAAGAAAATTAAGAAGAATTTTGATGGGGGGAGGAGGAAGAGGAGAGTGTAAAAACTGTCTTGAAGCTTAACATTAAAAAAAAAAACTAAGATCATGCCAAGTGGTCCTATAACTTTTTGGCAGGCAGAGGAAGAAAAAATGGAAGTAGTATCAAATGTTACATCCTTGGGCTCACAGATCACTGTAGACAGCAACTACAGCCATGGAATTAAGGGACACTTGCTCACTGGAAGGAAAGCTATGGCAAATTTGGACAGCATGCTAAAAAGTGAGGTATCACCTTGCTGACAAAGATTTGTATAGTCAGAGCTATGGTTTTACCAGTAGTAATGTATGCATGTGAGGGTTGAACTGAAAGGAAACCTGAGTGCTTACAGACTTGATGCTTTCAAATTGTGGTTCTGGAGAAGACTTTTTTTTAAATTAATTTATTTTGAATTATCAACAATCACTTCCATAAGCTTTTGAGTTTTACATTTTTTCTCCTCCTCCTTCCCCACTCCCTCCCCAAGATGGGGTGCAATCTGATATAGGCTATACATATACATTCCTATTAAACATGTTTTCACATTAGTCATATTGTAAGGAAGAATTAGAACCAATAGGAGGAACCACCAGAAAGAGGAAACAAAACTCAACAGAAGAGAAAAAAAATAGCAAAATATGCTTCAATCTGCATTCAAACTCCATAGTTCTTTCTTTGGATATGGATAGCATTTTCTATCATGAAGCCTTTGGAAATGTCTTAGATCTTTGTATTGCTGAGAAGGGTTAAGTTTATCAATATTATCATCGCACAACATGGCTGTTATTGTGTACAATGTTCTCCTGGTTCTGCTCACTTCACTCAGCATCAGACCAAACAAGTCTTTCCAGGTTTTTCTGAAGTCAGCCTGCTCATCATTTCACATAGCGCAATAGTATTCCATTACATTCATATACCACAACTTGTTCAACCATTCCCCAATTGATGGGCATTCCCTCAATTTCCAATTCTTTGCTACCACAAAAAGAGCTGCTATAAATATTCTTGTACATGTGGGTCCTTTCCCATTTGTATGATCTCTTTGGGATACAGCCCTAGAAGTGCTATTGCTGGGTCAAAGTGTATGTACATTTTTATAGCCCTTCAGGTATAGTTCCAAATTGCTCTCCAGAATGGTTGGATCATTTCACAACTCCACCAATATTGCATTAGTGTTCCAATTTTCCCACATCTTTGGAGAAGACTTTTGAAAGTCCTTGGACAGCAAGGAGATCAAATCTGTCAATACTTAAAGAAATTAATTCAGACTATTCATTGGAAGGACAAAAACTGAAGTTGAAGTTTAAATACTTTGGCCATATAATGAGAAGACAGGACTTACTGGAAAAGATTGATGTTGGGGAAGATTAAAGGCAAGAGGAGAAGGGGATAGCAGAGGATGAGATGGATAGATGGTGTCATAGAAGTAATGAACATAGGATTGGACAGACTTTGGGAGAGAGTGGAGGATAGAAGGGCCTAGCGTGCCATGGTTCACAGGGTCACAAAGAGTCTGATAGAGCTGAATGAATGAATTAACAACCTTCATAATTGCTTAAGGGACACAAAAGTTAAACAACTTGCCTGATGTCACTCAACTAACAAATAGACCCTGGGTCACACAGCTAGTAGTGCCAAAGGTGAGATTTGAATCCTGGTCTTCCTAACTTTAATATCAGCACTCTATCTGCATCCCAGAATGTTTCTAGATTCTTGTAATACAAAGAAGAAAACTCAGAAACATTCTACCTTCAAGAAACATATATACATTTATAAACCAAAGAATATATACATATTCAAATTCATAGTCTACATACCTGTAGGCATATATACATAATGTGGTCTGTGAATTTAAATCAATTCCTTGAAGGCAGGGACTCTTTTATGTGTATTGTCCTGGGATTGTGTGTTTCTTCAGGCTTTTGTCTGCATATTCTTTCAGTTACCTGATTGGTGTCTTTTCCTATAGCTTTTCTATGGTTGTCATTTGAGAAAGAATTTATTCCAATAGAACAAAATATTTGTAAAGTATATTTCTATAGAAAAACTCAACCAACTCACCAAGAACTGAAGAATTAATACCTTATAGAGATAATCTCTTATTAAGAAAACACATTTGAGTGGATAGAGCACCAACCCTGAAGTCAGGAGGACCTGAGTTCAAATCCGGCCTCAGACCAAACACTTGACACTTACTAGCTGTGTGACCCTGGGCAAGTCACTTAACCCCAATTGCCTAAAAATAAAAAAATAAAAAAGAGAACACATTTGCCTGGTTCTATTCTTTGAAGATAGGA